CGGTCTGTCTCTCGTGTTCAGCATCCTCTGGTCTGTCTGCATCACCTGGAAACTTTAAACAAACAGAGATATATATATATATATATATATATATATATGTGTGTGTGACGTATATATATGTATGTATGTATGTATGTATGTATGTATGTATGTATGTATGTATGTACAGGACTGTCTCAGAAAATTTGAATATTGTGATAAAGTNTTGCAATAGTAATTTATGCACTAACTACATTACTACTTGTACTACAACATTTGAATCATCAGTTCTTCCTCATTTTCCTCAATTGTTCATATTTGGTTTATTAATAAACCAAATATGAACAATTGAGGAAAATGAGGAAGAACTGATGATTCAAATGTTGTAGTACAAGTAGTAATGTAGTTAGTGCATAAATTACTATTGCAACAAATGTGTTAATTTTCTTCATTATTAGTCGATTTTTTTAATGCAGACATATGTTGCAGGGACTACTAGAATCATCATACTGGCGTGACTGTAGACATCAAGGGGTTAAATAATTTTTTTTATTTGTTTTAGAGTACATTTCAGAATATCGCGATATATATCGTATATCGCGATATAATCAGTAAATATCGCGATATCATTTAGAGACCATATCGCCCAGCCCTAACTGTGACTTGTGTTGAGAGTGGGCAGCTCTTGACTAAAACAGGTTAGGACTTAGGAGGCTTTTCCAGGCTTGGCAACCTACGTTTGTTAAGATGAGTTGTATTGTTTGTCACGATATGCCTACAGTAAAAGCAAACAAACTCGTTCTCTCGCTGTATATTTTTGGCATTAATCTGAGCCGAGAGATCTGTTAGAAAACTACACAATGCGCCTCCACAGCAAAACAAAGCTGTGCTACTGTGTGGAGAAAAGAGTGGGTGTCACCATTAAGTATTGACATGACTCTTCAGAGCTACTTGTAGCCAGAAAGCATAAAATGTGATTTGAACAGCTTGCAAAATGGGCTTTCATTATAAAAGATCATAAAAGCAGTTATAACTTTGAGTCGAATGATTATCTTGTCGCATGGCAGCACTTCAAACACTGATGTGAATCTGTAGAGATGTGGACTCCAGACAACAGCGCACAACAACATGCTTTCTTTTGAAGCGGATACTTGAGACTTTGCCTTTTCTTACTTCCTTTAACTAAAGTAAAAAGGAATAGGGTTGCAAAGGGCTGGCACATTTTTGGAAGTAGGTATTCATTTGCTCCTCGCTTTAACATTTTAAGTTTGAACACTGTACACATTGTCAGCTTGAAGTTATTTTCCCAATAAGTTAACTTGTAGCTCACCAACTCACCATTTGGCACATTGTATATCATTGACCAGTTGTTGAATTAATTGGCGAGTTTAAAGATAATGTCTGCTTAGCATAGTAAAAGTTGTGTTTCTATCTGGATATGACATGATCCAGACAGCCTGAGCAGATAAACATCACATTTTTTAGACATGAACTTTTACCCCAACATAATTGTGACCTAGACCGATACAAGTCAACATCGATTGAGTCATTTTGGGATTCGCCTTAAGTGTATAATCTTATCTTGCATGTCTAGGGCAGAAATAGCTGTTGTGGTTAGTGCTGTTAATCATTTATGCTGAAACCCTTTGAGCCTAAATGAGGAACTGACCTTCAGAAAACTGCCTCATCACTTCTTCTTCTTAACATCCACCAAGTCTCCTTTGTAGATCCTGACAACGACATACAAAAGGATGTGTAAATGTTTGTTCACCGCCAGTGTTCATTCCATGTTCTACTCACAATCAACTTTAAACTACATCCACTCATGTGAAGCTTTTAAAAAATGACGAGAGCTGTAAAGATTCACCAGCAAATCGCTTGTTAAACAGCAGAAAAGCACATTTATGCATAGACGCAACAATGCAAAGGTCATTAAAAGATCATCAAAGAATCACACACATTTCAGAGTGTGATTCAGATGATCCACCCACCGCCAGTCAGGCAAGGTGTGGGGGATTCACATTAGCGGGGTTTGTACGGTAATTGTTTCATTACCAAGACTGAGGACAGCTTTGAGGGTTGAACAGAGTACACGTGATGATGTTTGGACAATGTTCACATCCTCGCACAGTCGGTCAATGTGTGCACGACTACGTCAAGCACTAATATATGCGGGGGACTTGATTACACAAACAGTGTGAGCTAGAATCGACTGTCAATTTGCTCGACAGATAATTAATTACAAGATGTTGTTGAATCCCCGACCCTCATTCTGGCACAGTCACCAGTCCACAATGTTCCCTTCCAAAATGTCAAGCTTTGTTTTTGATTCTAATATCAGCTTTTCTTAAAACTAGGCATAAACGCCATTGTGTAGGTCTTTTTGCTTTTCGTGGTTTCGTGACAGTTTCCCTGTTTTTATCCTGTGTATTTATACCGCTTTCCTAATTATGTCGTTCTCTACAAAGCTACAAGGCCTTTTATTTGTTAAATTATCATTTTCTAATCTCTTCAAAAAAGCTACAACTTTTAAAGTAGTTAAGTGAATTGTGCAAAATTGCAGCAAAAAATATTTAACCCCAGAAAATGCAATCACTCGTTTCATGTTTTTTCTTTTCCTTATACGTGATGTTTTGGTGTTGTTTTTTGTTGTTTTGTTTCTTTCCGTTAACCGTCAAGTGGGAAATAAGTATTTTTTCTGTGTTTCTCTTAGTATCCTAAGATACTGTTATGTTTGGCTTCGAAACATTTTTATTATGAAGGGCAAACCATCTATTTGTATTTATTTTTGTTTTTTTAGAAAGAGGCGGGTCACATAAGATTTTATTCTTCTCCCTGCTCCTTTTCGCTCAATGGTGTTTTGAGTCATGTTTTGTTGGCAATTATTGTACATTTGGTTTTGCGTACCATGAGCGGGACAAATAAAAATGAAAATAAATGAAATATACCTATACTGTACATTATACTGCATTTGATGGTTTCTTTTGCACTGGTTAGCTGCTACCTACATGTTGTTGACCCGGTACTCTGTCCAATGACAGTAAAGTTCAATCTAATCTATCTGTCTGTGTGTGGGAATGTGAGGGTGAGTTTGTGTGTACATGTGTGTCTGTGGAGGGGGTTAACCACAAGATAACAGAGACACTCATCCTGATCACTGACCCCCACTGACCTCTGGTAATTACAGGAAAGCCTGTAATGACAGAGCTCATCTATCAGCTGACCTCAACAGCCCTGTTGTCCATCAAACAACATGATATTCTAGATGTCCGAGAGAATAGGCCCACCTGTTGGGGTAGTCTTTGATTCATTAAGTGTTCAACATGACAACATGGGCACTCACATAAAGGCAGAACAGCTGTGATACCATCTTTAGATAAATAAAGAGACAATGGGCTTCATTCATCCATATCTTGAGAAGGGTCCTCAGAAAAGTCTACGTTGAATTGTTCTTTAAGAGTTTTTCGTTCTTGTGTTCATTTATTGATTAATTGCATTGTCCTCGTAAATTGAAAGCATGTGCCTGTAAATCTTGAATAGCAGGTAAACACACTGCCAGTCACCATAAAATGGACGAGACTGCAGGGCTGGGAGTACACAGAAACTGAAAAGAGATAATTAAGTCAAGGATGGCCAAAAACAACCTAAAGAGTTCTTAAGTGGAGGTACACAGTAAGTGAACCCCAAAACAGCTTAATATTTAGATGAATGGTATGCTATTACTTGTTCAGTGTGGTGATGTGTTACTGTAGAGTTATTTTGGTTTAAAATGGTCAACATTGATTAAAATTGAAATCTAAAAAAATGTACCCAAACATTTTCTGTACTCAAATGTGCAAATATGCTCTGGAGTTTACGTACATTCTGTTCTTACCTTACAAAAAGTGCAAATGAGAAAACTTTGGCGCATGTCAGAGTTTTCCTGTATAGATTTGTTGGTGGAAAGAGTGTAATGCTCTTTCTTTTATTCCATGAACTGAACATTTCTGGACCTTTTTTGTTAAGATTTGTTGCCTCTTTTGTTAAGAACAGTTATAAGTTATCACAAATAAATGAAATGTTAGATCAAGGGAATATGCACTATTTGATTAATTGTATTGCCTTACTTTAACCCTAACCCTTAAATCTAACCCTAAAAACTGAATATGCTCTCTGTCAATTGATAATCCCCTTAAAAGGATGCTATACAAAGGTGATACAAACTACAAGGATTAGTTAGAGTGATGACCTTCCACCCGGTCCTGGGATATTATTTATGGTTTAACGTCTGCAATGGTAAAGCCCATAAAGATTCAAAAGTACATTACCTGCTGCTCTATCAGGTTATACACTACCAGCCTGATATTGGAAGTGCCTTTGGTTTGTATTCATAAATATTTAACCATATATATCCATTTGAAGAAACGCACCTGTGACTATGTGGCCTGTACGTTTAAATCTAGTCCCTTTTTTCCCTCGGGAGGGATTATGTGGCTGACCAGTAAAAAAGACAAGGCCCGTCATTGTTACTCTTTCTTCTGGCACAAAGATCTCATTCAGATTGTGATTCAGCCATTTCCTTCAAGGTTGTCGCACGTCACACTCTCAGATACATGCTCTTATATTCAAGAAATGTAAAAGAAACACTGGTATAAGCATCTTTATAAATATTATATTATCAGAACTGTATAAATGCTTTTGGAAATATTTGTTCTGTAAATATACAACACTCGTCTGTAGATTCTATATATAATAAATATGTTATTGATTTCTGAGACTACATACACTTGAAAAGACAATGGGTATTCAGAAAGAATGCAGATGGTTTTCCACGTGACCCCAAATCACACTGAAAGATAATCACGTTTTCGCATTTGGAAGACCAGTTTGAAGGTAAACACGATGCCACCTTAAGCTGACTCCACCTTCACTCGTCTAAGCTGTATAAAGAAGGTAGAATCTGTTTCTCCCTCTCCCTTTCTCTCTCACTAAAAGTCTTATGCAGGACCTTGAGCCAACAGGATCCGATATCGCCTTCACCTCAGGAGGGTTGAGCCAGCGGACACAGAGGGCCTTCTATCCCACCGAGCCCTGGAAGAGAGTATTTTTCCGCTCCTTCTTCATCCCCAGCTCCAACCATGTACTCTGCTGGCCTGGAGATCCTCGGGATGATCCTGGCCGTGGCCGGCTGGCTGGGGGTGATGGTGACCTGCGGCCTGCCCATGTGGCGGGTCGCTGCCTTCATCGGGCAGAACATTGTCATCTCTCAGGTGATCTGGGAGGGCTTGTGGATGAACTGTTCAGTGCAGAGCACGGGACAGATGCACTGCAGGGTGCACGAATCCATGCTGGGGCTGCCGGTGGACCTGCAGGCAGCTCGTGCCTTGGTCATTGTCTCCATGGTGCTGTCTATAGTGGGCATCGGCCTGTCGGTGGCTGGGGCCAAGTGCACCAACTGCAGCCGGGACGTGAGCAGCAAACCGCGGCTCATGGTGGCTGCTGGAGTGACCTTTGTGGTGGCGGGGCTGCTGCTGCTGGTGGCCGTGTCCTGGACAGCCAACGCCATCGTGCTGGGCTTCTACGACCCCATGCTGGAGGAGACGGGGAAGAGGGAGTTTGGTAATGCTCTGTACTTTGGCTGGGCTTCCTCCTGCCTCCTCATCCTGGGGGGAGCCCTGCTCTGCTGCTCCTGCCCAGCTCCAGCAGCGACTATTGGTGGCTCCATGCCCCATCGGGTGGACTACTCAGCTGTCAAGACTATGTCCGTCAATGGATACCCCAGAAAAGACTATGTATGAACATGTGACATGTCGCAGATGAATATAAGACGACTCGTGTTAGCCTATTTGTCCACAGCAGACGGATGTTAATGCTATCATGGGCTTTGGCACTAAGTACGAACCACTGATGCTATAAAACATGTTTTATATGTGTTTTGTTTTTTTTACTGTCGAGATGGGCATCTTAAATTGGTTTTAATATTTTATTTCAAATATTTATACATTTTAGTGGTTCTTTTTCTAAGATTATGATGATGTCTGATTTTAAATGTACATGTTTATCTAAATTACAACTGATTAAAGCAAGTTCTTTTTTATAAAAGAAGAATTTACAAGAATGTACTAAAGCCTTCTTCGCGGTGGAGATTCCATTTATAACCCTGTGCTTTCATGCCAAGTCAGAATTAAATGCTCAAATTAAGTATGACATTGCAACTATGCACAACTTCTTACTATACAAAGACAGGGGCAGGTGCCAGCTGAGTTCAGCCGAGTCTGACCAATAAGAGGTGCACACTGAAATTAGGTATTTTATTTCAATGTAGATGGAGGACAGACACAATGGGTGGCTTGTTTCGTAGGAGCACCTTATGCTTCCCTTCCATTGTAGCCTGTTCTCCATTCGCAGGCGAAACTGAGTCAGAGATAAAAGTATCCCTCTGCAAGGGGAGGTAACCTCCACTGTAACCGAGTCTGAGCCACAAAGACCCCATTGATCCGAGGGGTTCCAACTGTTTACCACGGGTGGGACTCACTGAAAGTGTTTCTACATTTTCAAAGAGTCACCTGAAACAAAAAAGAAGACAAAACAAAAGCATGTTCTGGAGGAATAATAATGCAACAGTTGGATTTGGAGAAAGATGGAAACACCTCAGCAGGCCCACTGTCACATCTGAGGTGTCACAAATGATTTAGAGTCATAATCAATGCATTATTTTTAAGAGTCACATTCTTAAAGATTCTTATTTTTTGTAAAAGACTCTGCTACCCATTAAGCCTTGCTTTAATTTCACACTATACAACGTATCTCCTTTTTACATCTGTCAAAAACTAAACCGGTCAGGAGACTTTTACACTTTCATTTCTTGTTCAGGTACATTCAAAAGTCTTCTCACATATTTTTACTACAATGTATAGATACAAACTATTGGGAAATTCATAATTTACAAGAAACAAAGATACAGATTGAAAACATCTTCTTGACCTACTTTAGCTCGAAGAGGTTAATGATCAAGAAGAATAGGTTTCTTAATATCCTGAAACCCCCCCTTCAGTGAGCTCAGACCCTGAAGGCAGGATTGTGTTACTGAGCCCAGCCGTGCAGTCATGTGTTCATAAGAAGGTAAAAGAACCCGGTCAGAGGTGAAAACACTTTCTGCCGTAAGAGCAGCTCCCACTTCATTGGAATTTCAAATATTTAGGCCTCATGGCAAAGAGAGTTACCAGAAGTAACCAGTGTTTTGTTCTGATTAACAATCAGACACAAATAAAAGGCCTCCTGTGTAGTAATTAAGGGACTACAATTTTACAATATAAGAAACCTTGTCGTGGTGAGTCAGAAACTGAAGTGATTTTGGGTTTTGACATAACCATCAAATGCCTTTAAATACAGGCACTGCATCACATTGGTAAAGCAGAGACTTTCATTATGTATTTGTTGTTAACTGAACTGCAGATTCAGTGTGTGTGTGTGTGTGTGTGTGTGTGTGTGTGTGTGTGTGTGTGTGTGTGTGTGTGTGTGTGTGTGTGTGTGTGTGTGTGTTTGTGTGTGTGTGTGTGTTTAGAAGGGTCTTTTTCTTTGGCACGTGCAAAAGTTAAATTGTGGTTAAAACCTCTGATGCACTACGACCTTCAGAGCAAGGACGCTGATAAGACACCCCCCACCAACCCCCACCACCAATAGCCTTGTGCACACGCACTCAGACAATTGTTTGAAATTACAACACGCTGGCTGATTCTCTTTTTTTTTTAATAGTAAGGCTTCCTTGAATCATCTCTAGAAATGTGTTTATGTCCAGAGAGAAATGCATGCTAATAATACAGATGTTTCGATTTGCCCCTTCCACATGCAGATGCATTATTATTTGTCTTGTTTGCATTGCGGTTCTCACATGTGGTCTCTGTCCTTAACTTCCCATGGGAACCTAGGCAGCTTGGAAAAGCTATGTTTAAAGCATATTCTAGCAGCACACACCCTAACAACATGATGTAACTTTTAATCATATGGGGGTTTCTAAATAAAATGTAATGAATAATTACGTCTTTTGATATCTGTGTCAAAAGAAACCTCTGCTTAAAAAAATATGTCAGGTGATTTAACTCGAAATATTCTGGGTATTGTCTCTCCCAAAGATTTTAGAAAAACCATTGTAGCCTATAAACATCTTCTTCCTAATTTATTATTTGTAAGCCATTCACTATTATAAGCCAGCTGCTGTTTTTATTCCCTCTCTTGCAAGATGGTTGATAACCATCTCAAAACTTAACTCAAGTAAATCCAGTGATGAGTATGTAAGTCGCTTTGGATAAAAGCGTCTAACAAGTAACATGTAATGTATAGTAACTAAGTACATTTACTCAAGTAGGCTACCGTACTTAAGTACAATTTTGAGGTTCTTGTGCTTTACTTGAGTATTTACATTTTTAGCTACTTTGTATTACAAATCAGAGGCAAATCATGTACTTTTACTCAACTACATTTATTTAATACCATTAGATACTTTACAGATTTGGATTAATGATGTGAAATATAATCAACTCTTAAATCAGACTTTAGTTACACCTGGAGTAAATTCACAAGCATCTTCTGGAGACTTGTTAAGCACATTGTCTGTAAGTAAATATGTTAGTTGAAACTATATTAATGTAGAACAGTGCTATTTCATTGTTTGATTGTGTATTTCAGACCTTTAATAGGTGATGTTAAACTGCATCTGCACCACTAGGCCCAAGCTAACGCCTCATGTCAATGCCAACGTAATACTATTAATCTGTTTGCATATTAGCTCGTCATTAACTTAGCACTGTTAGCAAATTAGCTCGTTGTTAGCTTAGCTCCGTTATCATTTTTGCTAAACTCTTGTTTCCTCTTCACCTATAAAAACGATTAGTTTGTTAGCCTTCTTAGTTTGTTAGCCTTCTAAGCTGTCTAACTAGTCTAGCATTAGCATAGCATGGTTCTTTAGGTTGTGTTTCTGTATACTCGTCATGTAACATACTTGAGTACTTGTGTGTTACAGTTTTAAAAAAAAGAATATAAGAATATTAAAGAGCTTCAAGTAACCTTCAATTCAGAATCTCGTTCTCCTGGAGTTATTTGAAGTGTGTGTTTATGCTGACTGAATCATCCCGGTATCACGGCAAGACATGAAAATGTGACGATTTACCACGCTGGGAACTGAAAAAAATCGTCGTATTCTCCACAAACATGTGTGTTATAGTGAACCAAAAGTTGTGATAGAGGCTTGCCAACATCCAGGTATTTCTGCACTGGTGGGCCATGTTAACAATAGTGTAACTGTCACGTTTGAAGGGACGAAATCGTTGCATCTTCACGTCTCCCAGCGTGGTAAATCGTCACATTGTCACGTCTTGCCGTGATACCGGGTTGGACTGAATAGCTAGATTCCAGGAACATCTAGTGAGATCAGTACATACCCTGCAGTATACAAAGTCATTAAAACTAGCTGCACCTTTACCAGCTTTAATAACACTTTAATGCATCAACAATTCTAAAACATATCATATATATTATTCTGAAATGGACCAATCTGCACAATGACTACTTTTACTTTTGGTACTTTAAGTATATTTTTGATGCCAATACTTTTGTACTTTCACTTGAGTAACATTTTGAATGCAGGACTTTTACTGTAACAGAGTATTACACTCAACCACTTCTACTTTTACTTAATACAAGATCTGAGTACTTTTCCCACCTTAGAGTACATCTAATAATTAACAATCCCTTAGCTGCTTACTAACAAAACCCCTAAAACGAATCATTATATTTGCGCTAAACAACTGCCTGAGGATCTTTCAGAGAAGAGTGCAATGAGAAACCTGTGGGAGTTGAAATTGTGTCTTCCACTTTCAATCATTCATCCACCATTATTTACAGGCTGTTATCCGTTAACTACTCCAGACCTGAGATACAGGCTCTCTGTTTACTCTCCCCTCACCCAAATAGATGGGGGAGCTACCGGGGGAGAGGAAGTTGAATGATTAAACTGAGGCCGTTTACATGCCAAGGTTGGGTTTGTGTACGTCGAGGCGAGGTGGGACTGACGGCGATTTGAATTCCCCTCTGGCCAATAACCAGGTGACTCCACCCTCTGTGCTAAAGAAATCTGCTTATATGAGCAATCAGAACTCCACAGAAAACTCACTTTGTCCACCTCTGAAATACTGACGTAGAGAAGACTTCTGCTCACTTTGACTCAAAGATTCACGACATGCCTTCAGTGGGACTGGAGATACTTGGAGTGGGTCTAGCTGTCCTGGGATGGATCTCAGCCATTGTGTCCTGCGCCCTGCCCATGTGGAGAGTGTCAGCGTTCATCGGGGTGAACATCGTCACAGCACAGACCACTTGGGAAGGCATCTGGATGAACTGCGTGGTCCAGAGCACAGGTCAGATGCAGTGTAAAATCCACGACTCCATGTTGGCTCTCACTGCAGACCTCCAGGCCGCCCGCGCTCTTACTATCATCTCCATCATGCTGGGCATTGTCGGAATCATGGTGGCCATTATGGGGGCAAAATGCACCAACTGTGTGGATGACGAGTCGGCCAAGGCTCGGGTGATGATAGCTGCCGGGGTGGCCTTCATCCTGGCCTCTCTGACCCAGCTGATCCCTGTGTCCTGGTCAGCCAATTCCATCATCATGGAGTTCTACAGTCCAATCATACCTGAGTCCCAGAAGAGGGAGATAGGGGGGGCTCTGTACCTGGGCTGGGCTGCTGCCGCGTTCCTGCTCATCGGAGGGGGAATCCTCTGCTCCAGTTGCCCCCAACAACCTGAGAAAAGGTACGGGCCTCCATCAAAGATGATGTACTCCCAGCCGAGGTCTCTGGCCCCAAGTGGTTATGATAGGAGGGACTATGTCTGAACTCACACCTGCTCTTTCTCACAACTTTGCGGAAAAGACTGCTTGGAGAGAGCTCCAATTTGTTTATAACTTATACACATTTTTCTTAATGTTGAGATTGAAAACTATTTTCATGCCACTACTGTATATGCCATTTAGAACAGAGCTGTATATGCCATTTAGAACAGAGACTTCAAAATTGTTTGCCTTTATTAAATCTATTGTGTGTTACTTTGATGCTGTTGGAGGCTAACAACTTTGTTAGTGATGCTGTGTAGCCTGTATTTTATACTATGGAAATAATTGTATAATTTTTGATCCGAATTCAGAAAATACATGAATATGCATTTGTACTTCTTTATTGTTTTTCACTGTATTGGTTGTGTATGTGTATTGACAAGGAAGTTCAAGTAAGCGTGTCATGAAGTCATTTCATTTTGGAATCTATTCAGTGTGTAAATCAGTTAATCTGAAATGTTTCAATGTTCAACATGTTCCATTTTAAATTAAAGGCCTTTTTGTATTTAAGTTGTCTTGATCATTTAAACGTTTGACAAATATATTGGTTTAGGTTTTCTGTCTCCTTATCGTTATTAAGGGTGAGCAGCTGAAAAATATGGTATTTTGAAGTTTATTGATAACTTCTCTGCATGTTGTTTTTTTTGTCATGTTCATCAACAATGCCCTGAATTATATTGTCACCTCCTAGGTGGTATGAGCCCTCAGGTTTAAAACCCCTGCTTTATTTCACAGTATAAATGTGCCCATAATAAATATTTAATTGGTTTTAAGGTCATGGTACACTCAAAAAACAGAAACGTTGAACCTAAAAAAAATATTTAAACTTTAAATTATTGCTTTCAACTAACCTGATACAGTTATGTGAAATCTGTTGACACAATACATTTAATTAATGTCAACGTTTCAGTTTTTTCAGCGTAGGTTCTGGATACCAAACTAACACCCATAGGAAAATGTTAATATATAAACACTTAAAAGAGAGATTTAAGTGTTTAGAGATTTGGTAAAATATCTGATCTCCATATCGACAGGTGCAAAGATAATTTGTGATTCCATGCACCCTGCACACTCGACTGTGAGTCTGTTCCTCAGCACATAAATCCACCTGGCTGTCTCCCAGCTCTGTGTGCTCTGTGATAACAAGAACCGCTACTTTGTCAGCTTCCCCACACTCGACTACCTGAAAACAATGGAACTGTTTCATTCAGAAGACACTGGGGGCGGTGGGGGCTTTTCTAGGGAAAAAGTCCCATCTCTGAAGAATTTCAAGGGCATTCTGTAGACAGACAGTCATTAAGGCAGATCAAACAAAATACTGCTCTCAGGTGAAAGCCTCATAACTCTAAGTGTTAAAGTGATCTTTAAACTGAACTAGTGCATACATAAAGTTTAAAAGGTTTCCATCCTTGGTCTTATGAAAACTCTTAAAACCCTCTTTGTACGTTTTTTTTAAAACTGCCGTCAAGCTTAAAGCATGATGTTTTGTTGTCTTTTTAACAGCATGAAGCACTGGCATTTTAGACCAGTGAATAAGAGTAGAAGGATGTAACTGAGCAATGTAGGTCAATCATTCTTTGTATATTATACATTTGAATAACAAAAATCAAAGATCATCAGACCTGTACAAAGAAGCTTACGTCACCGACTGTAACAAGAGTTTTTCAGGTAAAGGTAGATTCTATTTTAATCAGTCACGTTTGCTGTCATTTGCACTTTTTCAATCATACAGTAAGCCTTAACCCACCTTAGTACGTCTTCATTGTTTTCATCGTTTTCATTGTTTATAACAACACACTCAATGGTTGTATGCCCTTTCAGCTGTAAAAGGCCCCTTTGTGGCCCGGCCCATTGGGAGCCGGCCATGTAAGCTGATCTCAGAGTGTGTCCAGGTCCTTCCTCCTTTTTTTAGTGATGACAGCACCTTCAAGGACTCCTCCCCTCCACTTGAGCCTTATAAAGGATCCTGGTGACGTTGAGGCAACAGATCATCACACACTCACAGATGCGAGGCCTGAAATTAAGTTAATTGCTAGTTTGGTCTCTGGTTGACTCTTCCCCTTTGCAGGAACTTTTCTGTGACCTCCTTTCAGGTGTGGCAGAAGAGGAAGACTTTTTAAGTATGTCTATTGGGCTGGAGTTGATAGGCATCTCCCTTTGCATTTTGGGATGGATTATTGCCATTTTAGCGTGCGCCCTGCCCATGTGGAGGGTGACAGCCTTCATTGGCAGCAACATTGTGACGGCTCAGATCATCTGGGAGGGCCTGTGGATGACCTGCGTGGTCCAGAGCACGGGCCAGATGCAGTGTAAGGTCTACGACTCCATGCTGGCCCTCTCCCCGGACCTCCAGGCGGCCCGCGCCCTCACCATCATCTCCATCCTGTTAGCCATCCTGGCGGTGCTTGTCTCCATCGCCGGGGCCAAGTGCACCAACTGCATTGAGGACGAGGCCTCCAAGTCCAAGGTGATGATCATCTCTGGGGTGTTCTTCATCGTTTCCGGGGTCATGCAGCTCATTCCTGTCTCCTGGACGGCGAACACCATAATCAGAGACTTCTACAACCCTTTGCTCACGGACGCTCAGCGGAGGGAGCTGGGGGCCGCGCTCTACATCGGCTGGGCGGCTGCTGCCCTCCTGATTCTCGGAGGTGGATTGCTCTGCTGCTCCTGTCCTCCTCGTGAGACCAGATACAACCCTTCAAGGATGGCTTACTCTGCCCCTAGGTCCGCAGGTGGCCCAGGGTTAGAAAGAAAAGACTATGTCTGAATGGACGTCAAGGAGGAAGAGACGTTATTGAATCACAAACCTGCTCGCCTCACCAAGCTGAAGGTGTAATGAGGGAAAGAGCTAAGGAAACAAGGAGACTCCGTGATGAAGGATGTGTTTGATTTTGCCTTTAATGTTAAGTATCTCTGATTAGACGCTTTGTTATTCAGAGACTGAAAAAGCATGCAAAGGACAGTGGAGTGAAAATCTCGTTTAATTATGTTTCACAGAAATAGTGTTCTTAGTCTTTTTTAAGGTCAACACACTAAAAGTTATTGTTAAAATCAGTATGCAATTATATACTTTTATACAGTTCTGGCGCCTTAATGTTTACTACTGATTTTTTTAAATAAAAAACGCCATCACTGTATCAAGTTTAAGCTTTATAGGCACTGGGCACTGCTGATTATAATATGAAAGACTTGGATGTGTTGAATTTGATGATGGTTATCAACTATATTATGTTCTGTAAATACTGTAGTAAGAGTATGATTAATCACCGGTAAATAAGAAGACAGATGATAACTGTATTCAATGCAGCTTTTAGTGCAGTGTTGTAAGGTTGGGGATGGGTAGGTAAGGTATGGAGGGGGGGGGGGGGGCGGGGTTGACAAAGGAGTGCTTTACAGTGTGCAGAGAGGGAGTCAAAAGCTCCTGGGTTCATCCGTGACAGGAATAATACCCAGGTGACTTACACAACTGAAGTATATGTATTGTGCTTTTTTAATAAACACAACTTTTTTTAAAGATACAGCACATCTTTATTCATTTCAAACAGCTGTTTCACGAGCTCAGTCTGAAGATCGAGCTCCATTTCAGATTTCGTAACAACATATTCCCTCCCTCGTGAGTCAGCGAACCGGTAACCAAAATGACGGAGTTTTCTTATTCTGGTGCCTGAGTAAGATGACACTGACATACAATCCTGAGGGCTACCTTACCAGCAACTTAACCACACGCGCTCTAAACAATTAGCCACAGGATCAGTTAACGGGCAGAGGCGAGAAGTGTGTGAGCACAGAGAATGGAGTCTTTCCAGACAGGTTACATGATTTATTTGTTTCTTAACCTTCAGACTTTAGTTATCATTGCATGCTTGGCTCAGCTTGCATCTTCTTTCCAACACCTTTCTACCTATACAATAACACATCTGCTTGTAAAAGCTGCCAAGTATCACCAAAAACTTCTTCTGACTGGTCACTAAACAAGATGTAGAACTTAATTAGAAGTGCCTTGAAAAACAAAAGCATTGCGTATTTTTTTCTAAAATGGTTCCATCTTTTCCGGAGATGTCCAACTTCCCTTCAATCTTCCTGTTTTTCCTGAAGTCTCTTTTATCATTAAGACATTTTGGAAAGCGGGACAACATGGCATAGTTATCTACAATTTAGCATATTTCAAATGTCTATCATCCTGAGTATTCATGATAGACATGAGTAAGGCTAGGACTAGTTTCCCACACCAAATGCAGTCACACCTGACAAAGGAAGCGACTTGAAAGTTTAATGACCATCTCATAGTAAATATGGTGGGGGTCACTTGGGGCTATATCACATTACTTTCCAACTGTTGTCACTTACTCCCATATCAATGTCGCCTCTAACAAAAGCCAAGGAACTGCTTGACATCTGGTCATGATTACAGTTATTACAGATTAGAGCTAATTTTGACTCTAATGATTATAGAATCATTTTTGTATTGTTAATAAATCCATACAAGTTTCCACATAAAACTTTTAAAAGGGGATGCCTGGTACATTAGTCAGGAAGAGTAAATCATTCAGTGACCTAGTTTGTGTCTGTCAATAACATGGCTCAATGCCAAAATGACAAATGAGGAAATATCTTTTAGTTTATTTTATATAAAGGATATGTTCAGATGAAGTCAGATTACACGATGCCGTAATACTGTATATATCCTGACAAATACTTCTAATGCTATCTATGCATGGCCTGTTGTGTGCAGTGTGGTCGTAGCATTCTTAGCATTTTTGCTATCAATTTTGGATACAATCATTTAATTGCTGATCAAAACAAATCTATTAAAATACAATTCCAATAATAATAATAGCTTGGATTTATATAGCGCCTTTCATGAGACCCAAGGTCGCTTTACAGAGAAGAACAGGAGAAGAAACAAACATAACAACAACAAAAGGCAGTCAGACAAACAGTTAGACAGACAAAACAACAAATAGATTAGGGGCAAAAGGGCCTTAGCAAAAAGATGGGACTTCAGGGCCCTTTTGAAGGCGTCAAGCGTGGGGATGTTGCGGATCTCAGCAGGGGAGAGCGTTCCAGAGGGTGGGGGCTGCCACGCTGAAGGCTCTGTCCCCGAAGGTTCGCAGGTTTATATTTAAACTAAACAAGCAACAACTCTTTTTATTCCACGACTGGTGTTATTTAATATAGTGTGTGTTTATACTTTGAAAAGAAAATAACTTCTTGGTTTCAATCTCTTTTGTTCTGTGACTAAAAGACAAATGATCTGCCTCAGTACAGGCCCTGTTTAGAAGCAGCAAAAGAACAGAGAATAAGGAGCACATAAAGTGAGCTCTTCAACAGAAACACTTCATAGAGGCAGAGCATGTTGACCAGTGAGCTGTGTGCTGTTCCAGTGAGTTGGCGAAGAGCCGCGGGCATGTTTGTCCATGGTTAAGATAATCATTGATTTTAACAACGTACTAAGCAGACACTAAAAAATACACATTTATCTTTTTGAAAAACATCCATCCAAAACATGACTGTTCAGAACGAGCTCCAAATTCCAGCTGCACTTCCTCGTGAGCAATGCTCCTGCCACCTCCAAACAATTTTGAGAGACAATGTATAGACATGAACATTTTATATATTTTAAGATAAAATGCATCAATCTGGTGCCCTTTGACAGCCAAGTTAAGAGGTAACCCAGCTAGCGGGGAACGTTCTCACAACTTTGGCTAACATTACCTACAGGTTCTAATAAGGTTTTAAAGAAATGATGAAACATCTGATGTTCGAAAAACCTTTTTAGGATGATTTTTCTTTCAAATAATGTTCCTATAAGGTTTAAGGTTAACAAAGACATAACGTTTTGACAGCAACATTCAGAGGATGTTTTGAGGATGTTATTGAGTCCTGAGATGACAGAAAGTTTTTTTATAAAATGTTCCTTTAATGTTAACAAAGGTGGAACTTTTTGCCTCCAACATTCTAAGGATGTGTTTTGAATGTTGTTGGGTAACACATTAAAGATGTTCTTTATAAAACGTTCCCTCAATGTTACATGATAACAAATGAAGAACATTCTCCAAGAAACATTCAGAGGATGTTTTGAGGATGTTATTAAGGCCTGAGATGACAGAAAGGGTTTTATAAAATGTTCCTTTAATGTGATATGTTAACAAAGGTGGAACGTTTTGCCTCCAACATTCTAAGGATATGTTTTGGGCGTTGTTGGGGTAACACATTAAAGATGTTCTTTATAAAACGTTCCCTCAGTATATGGTCCGGCAAGTTCAGCATTCACTGTGATGAATATAAAATAAGACACTGATACCGTTTTCCTCAATGAACATTTATTGAACAGAAGATCATGTGGAAAATCAGAGGGGCACCATTCAAGCTGGTCACCTTAAAAAAAATATTGACCTGCAGGAGTTTAAAGCCTATTTAAAAACTCCTCGGAATCTTTCACTGAAGTCCTTCAGCCTTTGGTGCGCTTCCTCACTCATGTTCTTGGTGAGGTCATGAGAACAGTTCCATCTCACTGATAAGACAAGATGGTATAAAGAATTATGTAATATTATAAATTCACATGCATCAGGGGTTGTACACTTTAATGTGTCCATTCACTAACCGACTCTTTAGGAAGGAAGCTGTAAGGCCTCCTGTTATAGGAATGGTCCTCGTCAGTGTCCAGGGGCATCTGTAGATAGTCAACCATTATTTTGACAGTGCTTTACATGCACGGTTTAACTCCTCCAAAAAGAACATCTCCTTTCTCCCAATGATTGTTGGGCAAAAGCCACAGTGATAATGGCTGCTGGACACACATTTGAGATGGCATTTATAAACATTATAACCTAAAAAAGAGACAGAAAGTGATCTCAGATTTGAAACAAGGTGTTTGTGCGAGAGCAATAAATAATCATGTCACCAACAATAATATGTTTGCCTATAAACTGAATTTTTGCAGATTGAATGTGTGATTATGCTCATATTGTGCCTACCCAAATAAGGATACTATTCGAGTATTATTAACAATTCATAACCTGAATATAAATCAAAATTTTTAATGTTCAATTTCTAATTCAAAAATTAATTTACACCTAAGGATGTCCTGGGCACAGAAATAACACATGTATCCATAATGAGTGAAGCATTAAACACATCTAACAAGTAACATG